CCCGCGCGCCGCTGAGGGGAGGGGAGGGGGCCCGCAGCGACTGCCGCTTCACGGGGCCGCGCCGGGTGGGTCCGGCCCGCAGTGAGACGCCCGAGCCGTCGTGTGGGCCGGGCCGGGGGGCTCGGGCACGGCGGGGCTGAGGGGTTTGCACCCTAGGAAAGATGCTACAGCAAGTCCCCTGCTTCGTAGGGCTAGCATCCGAGGAGTCCGACCCTTCAAAAAGGCACCAGAGCAGTCGTGTAGGAGGGAGCTGGGACCGCAGCAGGGTTTTGAGCCTAAGAAAAGACACCAGAGCCAAGTTCTGACCCTTCAAAAAGACACCAGAGCAGTCGTGTTGCGGGGAGCTCGGACCACCTCGGGGCAGAGGGGTTGGACCCTAAGACAAGACACCGGCGCAAGTCCGGTGTTGCAGGGAGCTCAGATCACAGCCGGGCAGAGGGGCTCTGACCTTAAGAAAACGTACTCGAGCGGTTCTCCTGCTGCAGGGAAGTGGGAGACGGGAGCAGGGCAGAGGGAAACAAGCCTGGAGCAGGTCTGCTGCCTCAGAGAACTGGGATCATAGCAGGGCAGAGGGGTTTTGAATCACCGGATTCCCATCGGACACCGCTGGGTTTTCTCCTGCCAATCATGCCTAGCAGTAAAAGCATCTTGTGGCACCCCGGATCGATAAAACAAAAAACAGAGCAGTTACTAGAAAAATGGGAGGGGGGCTGCAGTAATTATTTAAGATTGTCACAAGCACCTCGAGTCGATGCCCCCCTTACTGATATCTGATATTGCTGTGCTTCGCTGCTTTTTTAGGACGCCTGAAGCTTTCCGGTTACATATTTGTTGCATTTCCCCCCGGAAACCTGAGGAACATCAAGCCTTCACTTCCCTTGTGTTTGGCAGAGAAGAGGAGAAGGGAGGGAATGAAGGGCAAGCACTTCACCACTGGCTCTGATACCCCACCCCGTCACCTGTGCATGGCAGGATCCGGGCAGGCCTCGGCAGCACTCAGGTTTCAGTCTGCGATGACATGATCCCACCACTTGTAGGAAAAACAGAAATATCAAATCCTGATCTCCCTAATGACAACGTTGAAAAACAACAGGGAGAAAAACACCCTTTAGAGTGGGTTTTACCCATAACAAAGAAGCAACAGAGGCCACAAACAGAATGTACTTTGGCAGGCATCCGTTTTACAGCCGCTGACTTCTACTTTGAGATGCATGTGCATGAATCCCACTGAAGTCAACATATTTGTCCATGCATCCCTCTAACGACACTGTTTGTCCTTATGAAATTTAGTGTGCAGATCTGTGCCGTGCACGCTACATACGTTTGCATGACTTGACTATCCTGCTTTTAGCATGTTCAACATCTGGGATAGAAAGCTACATTCATCCGTGTTACTTACATTGGATATCCTTGCAAATCAAAGGAAAAGACTGTGGAGTATTGAAATACATGCATAATAACGTAGGCACCTGTCTAAAACCTCCTAACCGCCAACTGACATCCTCGTATCAAGAAATAAATGCAGAAAGTGAGAATGAAACAACTGCAGAATGAAGTCAACAAACGACACGTTTATTTATATTCCCAATGTTTCAGCTGTTTACACATGTATTTATATTCAAACACTGGAATAAACACATTCTTTCCGGAGTTCATCATCTGTGTGCTTTGTTCGACATTTAGTCTATCCATATTGCGGCTGAGCACATATACAGTTCTCAAATATTGTTTTATTCTTTCTAAGCTATGTTTTCTCAGATATGCCGCGGAGAATCAGCCCCTTGTCCCTGACAAAAAAGGAAATTTTAAATTAAGCTGATTTTGAGCACTTTAAAACTGTCACCATGCCCCTTTCCCCATCTTCTCTATGAAAGCTAATGGTCCAATTAAGCCATGCAACAGATTACTAAAAGGTAGAGCTCTCTGACTGAAAACGCTGATTCATCAAAATGGAAAGTTTTCACATGAACGCACCAGTTTCAAAGCAACTTTATCAAGACATGTTTCATATCTCCAGGATGAAATTTCTGGTCAAAACCAGAGAGATGATTTCTTAGATCGTGTGGGGTTTTATCGGATGACTGCTTAACAAAAGTCACGTAAAGCGGCCCACAAGCAGAGACTGCTACTCAAGATTTCCTCTTCACACATACGTGCCCTAATCACAAGGCCAGAAAATTAAACTCCCTCTTGTTTTTCTTCTGGCCAATGACAAACTTCATCCTTACACCTACTGCTGCACGGTGGCCTACCATCACAAGGAGTGCAACAGAGCCTGAGGGTCAAGAGGAAGTTAAACCCGGCTCTCCTATTTCCCTAAATCCCTGCTCCTCTAAAAGGACCCTTTTCCATCTCCAGAGCAGAAGACCAATGCTATCTTATGCAGATTGAGATCATTCTCACTTTTGGAAATGGAGTGAGCAAGAGAAGCTAAGGTTTGAGCAAACAAACACATCATATAGCAAATGAAAAGGAAACATATTGCAAAGCAGCTGATGTGTGGTAGCTGTCCGTGCGCTGCCTCTTGCCCTGAACTAAAAACTAAGCTGCAGTCGCTCTGATCTCAGTAAAATGGGGCTAAGTTGCTGTAGTGTCACTTCCACTTATACCTGGGGTAAAAACAGACACACAGGCAGTTATCACACATCAGCTGCTCCATGCCAAGACGCTGCCTTTGAATTCACTTTAATTTGTTCATTGTCCATACCCTTACTGACAGCAATGACATTGTCAGAACTGGCCCAGCTTGACATTATTGTCAAACAGTAATGCCGCCATGTAATCACATACTGGGATAAAAATAAAACCAAATTACAACCCATTACTGTCTGCCTAGTAGTACTCCTTTATAAAGGGTTGTTGTTTTTTTCTAAAATATTTAAATGACTTAAAACTATGTTGATTGTGATAATGGCTAGGGCAATACCACTTAGAGTTCATAATGTTCTCCTTTTTGTACTTCTGTATCATGTGTTTTGCCATTATTATCTAGATAGTATTGAACACTATCCTCTAAAGTGGTTCTTTGTTGAAATGCATGGAAGTCACCTTTGATAATAGCTACTGCCAAAAACCAGCAACAAATTTTTCTTTTTAGTGCTTCTGGTTTTTATCAGTGTTTTCTATTATGGTAGCAAAAGGGAGGATCTAATACATAAAGTTTTACTGTAAGGAATTCTCATTTTCTTCATAATTTATAAATTATTTGCAATATAGTCAGAGGCTGACATTAAGCCAAAGAAACTCAGAATAGACTTCTGCAGTGAATTTGAAAAAGGGTGCAGCTAGGGGGTGGAAATGGGGATCCTTGTTCAGATTCTATTACAGGTTTTATTAACTTTTTGTTGTATCTGTGGTTGTAGGGCATGGTAACCTTGTCTGCATGCTGTTTCTTGTTGAACAGTAGAACCAAAATAAATAAAATAGGACACAGAGAGCTGATGTACACCATCGTGAAGATAGATTCATTATATTCTATTCTGTCAAACATTTTCTTTGTATTCCTTACTGTATGGACATGCTTACAAAGGTATGCAAGGTACTGTATGAATCTGCACATGCATTGTAGAGCTGCGGGTATAAACGTCCCCACACACAAGAATCCCTGCATGCAATTGTAAGCAGAGGCTATGTATACGCATGCACTGTTAATGTGTAAAGTATTTCATTAAAGAGTGAATGCTGGTATATGCAGACACAGTTTATTCTCTTTAAAAGCCCCACAGCGCCTCAACTGAGGACAGGATTTTGCCTGAATCTGCTGAAGGAGGTGTGAAATGCTGACTGCCATCTGGCATTGTCTCCTTTTAAGGAGTGAGTTCCCGCTGCCACATTTATAGTGCTTAACATTTTCATTTTGTATGCGACACACGCTACTTCAGAGAAAGGCAAATGACACTGCAGAGATTACTGAAGGCAAAGGGAGACTTCTGGTGCTTCCTACTTTAAAAAATGCCGCCCGGGCACGCATCCCACCAAAGTAAGTGTTGAGTGCCCAGGACATCATCAATACGGTGCGTGTCCGGCTCTCTTCTTATCAGGCTTCTAGAAGTTCCCACCATAAACATACAATCTCCACCTCTGCCTGTGGCGAGATTAGCATCATTCAGTGTGTTTGTCTCAGATTAGAAAAATAATTGCCAAATGCACATTTGAAAAGCAGTATTGATGCACAGAAAGGAACAACCCTTTTGAATACCGAGTGGCATTTACCTTTAATGTTGCCACTGTAAACTTTGCTGGCATTTATATATAGACATCAAGGAAGTCTAGAGTTCCTCCAAAGATCTTCTTGGGAAGTGTTTTTACAGAACAACGTAGTTATGTCTGATGGCTGCATGAAAGACCTCCCTCTACTGGAGAGCCACAATTTTTTCTGGAACAATAACCCATTCTGATTCTGGTCATCTATAGAATTAGCTCAAGAAATTACATTTTGTCTCCTTCTCTTCTTTCTGCATTGGGAAAAAAATATGAGCTAGGCTGCTGTCACTCACGATTGAAAGCTGAGGGGGGAAAAAAAAGACTTGGTCACAAAATGTCATTTCCTTTTGTTGGGTTACCTGAAGAAAAACGGGATGCAAACCACACTTACCTATTACCCACCTAATGGGGTTTTGTGAGGATTCATTAATATTTGCAAACCGCTCTGAGGTTGTAAAGTGCTAGTTAAATGCTAGTGATTATTACTTATAACTAGGGCAAATAAGAAATATAATAGGGGGG